TAACGGTCACCTATTTGAACAAACAGGTCACTCCTTTGACAAACGGGTCGCTCGTCTGGGCAAATGGGTCGCTCGTTTGGGCAAATGGGCGACTCGTTTGGGTAAAGTTGTCGCACGTTTGCTCAAACCGGTGACCATGTTGCAAACTGCACCGGTTTAATCAAACGGCTCTCCGGAGCCCGTTTGATACTGAACGTACACATCGGCGGCGTGGGCACGCCTAGCGTTTCAGCCGTGGTAGCCAATGTTTCCGGAGGTCTGGGAGCGCAGGTTCATCGATTTCAGATCGTCCGCGTAATGCAAGTAATTATATGTATATGTCAATTGCGCTGATGTTCGCTTATGCTGCAACTAAAACTAACATCTTTTTTTGTTGTTGTTGTTTTACGTAAACGCGCGACGTTGGTGAGCCGATATTTTTGACAGAACTTTAAAACTTTGTCCATCTTTGTGGCCTCAATTTACTTATTCAGCTCGAATCTCTCTCGCAGAAGACGCGACCGGGTGAAATAATGTACGTCTAGACTCCGTTTCACTTTAATTCAAGACGCCGCGAAGGTAGCACGCGTACACGCGGCTGCAAGAACATCGAGCATTGCGAGAGCACGCCCGCCGTTGCACCAGTCAAACTACGAGCTCGCGCTGGGTACTTTCTTCGCTCGGGCGCAAGCCGAGGTTCTGGCCGCCCCGCCGCCATTTCCAAGGTTCGAGAGTTCTAAAACGCGCGCGCGTATTTTTTTTTGTTTGTTTTTCGAGGTTACAAAAACACATCTCACTGGAATGCCTGGGGAGAGGGACTGTCCCTGTGGTCCTCGCCCCCTCCCTCCTCTCTGGTCACCCATCACGTGACTCGCAGCCACGCGCGAGCTACACGCTGATAAGCATCGAGATCCGGAAGGGTGCGCCTAACAGCCGCTTTTTTCTTTGTCTGCTTGTTGCCAGTTCCAGCTCGAACTTAGCGCGTCCACCTGCTTCGATCTGTCGCCTAACCCTGCGATCTTATGAGGATGTCTCTCAACAACGTATTGGATGTGCACCAAAGCTATCAGTGTTCGAAAAGTCCTACGTCTATATCGGCAACAAGCGATTCTTCGAAGTCAGGAATTCTTGCGGTTTGGTTGGGTTCGGCAACTGACAGCTTGTGCGCCACATCGTGTTGAAACTTCCAAGAAGCCCTTCCCTCTCATTTGTGTTTGTGTGGTTGTCCTGCTTTGACCGTGTCAACAACTATCACGGATTACATCTTTCAAGTCCGCTATTTTTATGGTAAGTGCACTGCAACCTACTTCTTGGCAACGATTGACCGTTCTTCTACTCGTATTCTTCCAGATTATCTATATAATTATGCCGCCACTTTTCTCGTGGCAGCCGGGCGAATAATTTCCCGAAAGTCTAACTTCATAGTCTAGAATTACCTCGGTTCTTGTTTGGTTTGCTATCTTCTCAGTTGTATGAGAGCTTAGAGTGCCTCTCACATTTCACAGATCGCTTGCACGTTTGTACTTGTCTACAGAAGACGTAATAAACTTTGAGGAGAATTGAAAACAATCTTTTGTGTCTGTTTTCCTCTCCATTTGCAAGCACCTACGTGAGCACATTTGTTCTACGTGTTTCCTCCATGTTGTAAATAGGTTTATGAGTTTCGGAACGTCTTAAATAAGTTTAAGATAACCAACCTACCAGACGATGCTCGTTTAGGGATAGCGCATAATTTCCCGATTCGAATGGCACGTTCAAACGTGTGGTCTCGTGCAAGGTCGAACGGGCACCTGTATCAAATGGGTACAATTTCGAGCGGGTACCGTTTCAAACGGCTACCCGTATCCCATAATCACGTTTGATCCAAACGGGTCGACAGGTTTGCACCCGTTTAATTTACCAGTTTGCCACCCGTTTGAATTTCAAATGGTTTTTTTCAGTAGGGCAGGAAAAAAAAAAACGTTTAGTCGAAGGAACATACACAGAAGGTAACTTTTAGTCGAGTGAACAGAACAGACCTTCCCTTCTGTGTCTGTTCCTTAAAGGGGTACGGAAACAAAAATTGAAATATTCCGATCTTGTTCGGAAATGAGTCAAGCATGACGGATAATAGCCGTAAATGATAATCAAGACGGTGAGAGTGCAGGCGAGCTGGTGGTAGCTAATCATGTCGTATTACACCTGAGACTGCGGTGGAAGAAATCGGAAGAACTTTCAGTAGAAGGAACAGACACAGAGAACGTCTCTTTGAGACGTTCTCTGTGTCTGTTCCTTCTACTGAAAGTTCTTCCGATTTCTTCCACCGCAGTCTCAGGTGTAATACGACATGAAATGATAATCACACGTTTGTATTTTGAACGATTGGCTTTATTTTTCGTTCCAAACGGTGCACTCGAGCAACCGCTCGAAGAGAAGCGAACGGAGAGCGCGATGCGTCATGGGATATCCGGCGCAAACAAAAACAGAAAGAAAAGATTCCCCGCATTCATGACGTAGCAAGGCTGACGTGATTATCAGCTTTGCCCTTGGTGGCGTTGTCAGCGTTATGGTGCTGTCAGTAGCGTCAGCGCGTTACAACCGAGCCGTTCGGAGTACCCGTGGGGTGACGAGCGTGTGGCTGGCCCATGGAACATGTAGCTTCCACAACACTGTCAGCTTGGGGCTGAACGGGGTGGGGAAAGCGACTTTTGTTCGAGTTTTGAGCGACGGGCTAATCTTCTAGGGGGAGAATGGCTGTTTCCGGTTGCACGAACGAGGGTCCGAGAAAGAAGGGAGTCCTTCCTTTCCGTCTTCTTGGACCGTTTGGTACAATGCCCGATTTGTGAGTTCAGGAGGAAAGCTAAGAAGGAAAACGTTGAAATGCCAAAAAGCGGCGCTGCTTCGAAGGAATCTGCTACATCACGACTACGTAGCAGATTCCACAACGTTGCTAGACTACCTCCCAAATAAGCTCCGCATGCATCCACCAGGTGCACATTGAAAGATCGTTTATTTACTTTAAAATTAGTTTTCTTGTGCTTTTCAACGGAAGACTGGTGTTTTTGAGGTTAGGGTGCAACATGCAACACATTAAAGCGAGCAAATGAGCGCTGAAATTTCGTTTCCCTACCCCTTTAGACTAAATGATTTTTTTTTCCTTTTCTGCCCCACAGTTTCATGCGTTAAACGACGTGATTAGCTACCACCAGCTCGCCTGTGCACTTACAGTCTTCTCACTGAAGAAACAAGCATCGCACAGTCTACCGGATGCCCAGTGGACTGCAATCTCAAAAATAAAATGCTGCAGTTCAAGTCAAACGCAGCTTTAAAGCCTCGTACATACATAACACATGCAAGGATGGACAAAGACGAATATACTGAGCGGCAGAATTCACGCTGAGATCGAATTCCCAAGGGTTCACTTGCGTCGACGATGACGTCGACGAAGTAGTCCTCGTCGACGCAAGTGCACCCTTCGGAATTCGATCTTAGCCGGTCGAGGTTCAAGCACCTTGTATTAAGGCACCGGCAGCTTCCCGCCTGTTTGCGAGAGATTCGAATTATTAGTAACAATGCCGAAAAGAGGAACAGAGGAATGCTTGGAGCGCATGAAATATGATACATTCAAATAAAGATGTCTCCAAAACGTGGGACATATCCCATAAAGCGCCATATGTTATATTTCTGAAACGTTCACCTAAACGCATATCTCGATTATGTTGTTTTCTCTAACACTCATAAACGCAAGTAATAAGTTTCGCGTGTATATATATATATATACATATATATATGTGTGTGTGTGTGTGTGTGTGTGTGTGTGTGTGTGTGTGTGTGTGTGAAGATAAATTAAAAACAATGGACCGGGAAAAGTTAATAAGTCAAAGATGCGTACTTTCGGAGTTACTAATTCGAAGTTTATTACGACGTTTCGAGCCGGAACCGCTCTTCATCTGGAGCGGTCCCCGCTTGAAACGTCGTAATAAACTTCGAATCAGTAACTCCGACAGCACGCATCTTTGACTTATATATATATATATATATATATATATATATATATATATATATATATTAATAACAACAACAGCAATCTCTATTGGGTGGTCAAGAACAGCCAGTGGCCTTTTTGTTGAAAAACGAGGAAAATACGGAGGCAAATAATATAGGCAAGAGAGGAAAGGGAAATCAAGGCGTAAAAAGGCACAAAAAGCGACGCGAAGACAATAGCACAAACTATGGGAAGAGAAACATTAACGCAGGCAAATAGACATGAAATAATAAAAACATTAGAGACGCACACGAGAAATAGAATTTCTTATGCATGCAAAAGCTGGAAAAATCATGGAACTCAAATTAGGAGGAACGGACGTCACCTTAAAACACCTTAAAAGGTTATGGGTTCGTGTTATGTCGCACTAAATAGAACATTTATGCTGTTAAATAAAGTTCAAAATATATTCAGGGAATGTCAACAGAGCATACGACGTGTATGCTCTGTTGAGCATTCCCCGTTTTTTTACAGCAAACTTTAGTAAGCCCGTGGACGGGTGTGCTCGATATTTTACGTCACAAGTTCCACGGTTTATGCTGTACTACGATTATCAGACAAACCGAGAGCAAAATATTCATTGTCTACATAGGCTAACCAACGCATAAAACATGGAATTCAAAATGAGTGAGAAATTTAATATATATATATATATATATATATATATATATATATATATATATATATATATATATATTAAATTTCTCACTCATTTTGAATTCCATGTTTTATGCGTTGGTTAGCCTATGTAGACAATGAATATTTTCATATATATATGTGTATATATATGACAATGAATATTTTTATATATATATGTATATATATATATACTATATCTCGCTAATAATAGTTGTAGATGCCAAACATCCGTGGTCGTTGTGTTTGTTACTCCAATAATAAGCGTTGACATGAGTAGATATCCCTTAAAATTTTACTTGCGAAACACTAGGAACCTTGGAAGCGCTCTAAACTATTATTCCTTCGATATTTCTTGCAGACTGCTTTCCAGAATTCACTCGTCTCATCCAGCTTGCGTTACGCATAGCTGAGTACATCAAGCCACCTGGCATGTGCGAGGTCCTAGATGCTATTGCACCAATCATCTACACTCGCAAATTGAATCAGTCGGTGAGTTAGAGGCAGCAGCCGTGTTTAAACGAAGACCAGGTGTCTGTGTGCCAAGTATTTGGCCAAGCTGCATGGATCGATAAATGCCAGCTCTCGCGAGAAATATATTCCAAATAATCCTGCCCTTAAGTCTTTAAGGGACAGAAGCAGCGTGAAAACATCTCGTTTAAACCTTTTAAATTCAACGTGCCTCCCCCCTCCCCCTTTCCCCCGTCCCCTTTCCAAAAAAGAAAAAAGATGTTTTCTACTGCAAAATTAAAATTTGCATCGGCGAATGCCCTTTATCCGCCTAAATGTAGCACTAAGGGTCTGAACAAGATGCCAAACTTTCAGCACTGACCATTATCATTATTCAAAAGTTATAACCGATCTGAAATATTCAATAGAAAATTGGGCCCATTTTCGTCCATTTTCGGTAACTGGCGCGCAATAAAGCTCCACGTATTCCAAAGCTCTGTCAGCTACCATTTTCCTATAATAATTTCAGAAAATCACTTATAACTTCGTAATAAGATAACGCGGTTAGTGCTGAAACTTTGGCTTCTTGTTCGGACCTCTAGTGCTCCGTTTAGGGGGAGAAAAAGCATTCCACAGTAAATAATTTACTTAAAAAAATAAAAATTACTTCTTTTTTTCTTGGGGGGGGGGGGGGGGGGGGGAGCTTTGGACATTGGTTTCAAGCCTAGTAGGCTCTTGTTGTCCTTCAGACTTCATAGTTGAATTAGTTAACTTCGTTATCTTTCAGTGATATATAAAAACGTCCGCAAAGTTGATTTGGAAAAAAAAGTAGTTCCGAAATCGGAAGTGTTAATAAATAACTATTTCACTTAAGGGTCTGATACAAATCGATTAAAAAGACAAAAACCTTATTATAGAAATATATTGTAAATATTCGAGTATTGATTTAGGCAAAACCAGTCCTGGGGCATGTGGTTGGCGTTAAGCCTACAATATTTTGTATCGCTGATAATTTCTTTAAAATATTTGCTCGGTCAAGCGAGAAAAAAAAACATATAAACGGTGCGGCCCCGATCCGGACTATATTAAACATCAAGGAGAACCGACGGTAATGTTCCTTTAAAAATGCTAATGCCCTTCGGTCCTATACGCCTCGCAAGTGGGCTAATTTTCGTCTTCTGCGCATGAGAAAGGAAGTAGCGGTGACGTCAGAACGCCGAGCCCTGATTGGCTGATCGCGACCCCCCATCTGAGCGTCGTCTGCTCCTTTGCAACGTCGTCTGCTCGCAACGTCGTCTACGTTTGTCTTACCTTTCCTGCGACTTTCGGAGCGAACTCGACTTCGCCTTTAAAAGAGGGCAGATGAAATAACTCGAGCGCTACGTTGTTTTTGTCTAACAAGTAGCAGACGCGCATCAAGGAGGGAAGTCAAACGACTTACTGGCGAGGTGTCCCGGGGCGCCGAGGTTTGTTTGCTTAGAACCGAGAGGTGAGCGTGTTAGTGTCCGCAAGTTCCCTCCCAAATACTTTTTCTCTCCTTTCGTGTGCGGCGAGACCCCTCACTCTTTAACGGCGTCGGCGGGTTGCCGCAGTTAACGTCATCTGCTTTACGTCTGCTAGTCAAAGCGATGGCTGCTTTACCTTCCTGCGTCTGTCGGAGATTCACCGCTTTTTCACCGGCGAGAGTCACCGTTGCCTCGGGAAGCAAGGAGATAACAAAAGGAAGAAATTGACCTCCTAATCTAAAATTGAGGTCAGCGATCAAAATATAATACGGGAAGGGTTCACAAGGGTCGCGCGGGCATATTCCATTCAGCACGCCAGCCGGTCGTGGGCAGACGGTCGCCGAGTCGCGGAGTGCCTGCTAGGCCTAACTGCCCAGCTCGTTTGGTCGCGTTCGGTGGAATCGTGGCCGTTGGAGCTTTTCCCTGGTGTTTGTGGATCCAGCGTTCTCGTTCGTCGTGGTCTCTTTCAAGTACTTCTTAATTTTTTCTTGCTGCTTGAAGTCGGGACGGGTCCGAAGCGCAGGTAGAAAAATAAACGTCCGTGGGTCGTCGCGACCGCGACGCTGTCGGCCATGCTGATTTGATCGTAAGAAGTGCGTAAGACAGCTTCGGAGATGCCGTACGATTTCGTCGTAACGTGCGCAAACTTATAAAAATTTCGTTTCGTGAATACGAATTTGTTCTTAAGTTTTGTCTTACGCACATTTTTGGCGTAATATCGTTTCGTGAATCTGGCCTCTGCACTTCCGTAAGTCGCAGGAAAGGTAAGACAGACGCAGACGACGTTGCGAGCAGACGACGTTGCAAAGCAGCAGACGACGCTCAAATAGGGGGTCGCGATCAGCCAATCAGGGCTCGGCGTTCTGACGTCACCGCTACCCACTGCGCAGGAAGCGGACGAACTTGCCCTCCGCATAGTATTAATTTCATAAATTAATTTTCCTTTTTTTTTTGGTCTCTGATGGCTCTGAAGCCACCTGGAGGTATGCGCGGGGAAACTGAGGAAGAGGAGGAGACACCAGAACGCCGAGCTCTCATTCGATTTACGATAACTGGGCGAACTGTGGAGGCTGCGTTCCCCGCGACCCAATCATGAGAGTCGGAGCAAGGCACGTGATAGCAATCCAGGGTCCGAGCTCGTTCCAGCCACAGAAACAGCACTGTCCGGGTCAAAGAGTAGTTCTATATGACTTATTGATATATATATATATATATATATATATATATATATATATATATATATATATAATATACAAAAAAGGTGATGACACATTCGTATCCGCTCCCGATTTTCGTTCTCCTTGTAGCGCCGTGGCCGTTTCAGAGGTCGGCATTTATGGTTGAATTGGCTCACTCGCAACAAGCTCGATATAGAAAGTTAAAAACTCACTCACCATCATCGTCATGGCCGCACTCACCTTTGAGTCCTCACTAACGAACTCGTGAACTCACCAAACTCACGAACTCACGTCCCTCACGGAACTCATGAACTCACCAAACCTATGAACTTACTGAAGGGCGCAACATCGCGAGTTTCGAGGCGTATTCTTCAGAGTATGCACTGTTTGTTTCAAGCATTCGCGACAACTTCGTGCAAGTAAGAAGTGGGCGTCAGCATCGCCATTTATACCTCGGGTGTGAAACAATATTATTCCAACACGCACCACCGTGGGTGGCTGTTTCGTTTCTGCATACACTTTTGCAAACTTCTCCTTAATGTAAGGACGGTTTGCTCGGCAATTTGTTGTAGAGTATAAAGTATTATCGGTCGTTCACGCAAATCACTTCACCTAAAATACCTGCCTGGCAGATTTCTTTTCTTTTTTTCCTTCACAAAGATGAAGCGATTCAAGAACTGTGTGCGTGCCATGTATTGTCAATTGTTTTTGTTTTTTTTCTTCTATCGTGTCTCCCGTTTTTTGTTTGCACCGCACATGCTAAGGAAACTGGAATGTTCTGATCTACTGACTCTGTGCCTTGGGAACTTCTATATTTTATGAATCCTCACATAAAATCGTCGTCGGTGTCAGATGGCTTCGGTATTCTTGTTGCTCAGACAATGTGTGCTCGCGTTCGAAGTCGTCATTCTGTTGAATGCAAGTATCAACAAACTACACGTACAAAGCTGTGTTTTCTATTAAAATCATTTATTAGCTTTTGATGGATGGTAATTTTTAATTTCTATTAACTAAATTGAATTAATAAACGACCTACTAGTGTAAGCGCGACTTATTTCGCCATCGACATTTAAATTACTTCACTCGTAGCTATTGATAGCCTAATTCGGATATCCACGCTATATTTGAGGAGGGGGAAGGGCGCGGGCATGCACTTAATTAAACGGTCTACAATTATCCAAAACGTGTTTTGTCACATGCAAAAAATTGGGGCGCTTAACTTTTTCGGGTGGGGAAGTTTGCTTCTGTGTAAGCGCGCGCATCCACGCATATCAAATGTGTTTTTGAATTTTATTACATAAGTTCGGATCTAACGCCCTCCCCCCCCCCTGTCATTTGCTCGTATAAATACAAATCGTGTAGCTAAAAAAGACAAAAAGCGCTCCTCGTAAACAACTGAGACTTTCCTTGGCGCGAGCTGTACCGGTTAATAAATAATAATCAATAGGAATCGTAACTGATGCCTTAATGCAATTGGAGCTATAGTAAGAGAACCCTTTCTCCGGGACGTGAAATGTTTTCGGGTGCAGCCAGTGCTCCGACTATGCTCAATGGGTGACTAACGGGGAGTCTCATAGAAGGTTAAGAACATCAACTTGTCATCACCAATATGAAGTGAAAGTAAAAAGATCGTTTCATACATTTTAGAAAGTAATCTAGAAACTTGTCCTCTGGCGGCACTTTTAAGCGTGAATTTTACCGAAGAACTTCTTTCTCCTTGTAAGAGATTTTAAGCGGATTTAAGACACACGATCGTAAGAAGTCGCAAGTGTGTGAAGCTCACTTTGGTTTAAGAAGGAAATAATCGTAACGGACCAATGGCTTCTTTTCGGACTCTACAGGAAATCAGGAGTACGGACCTCCTACAGTTCATGGTTGACGCAGCAGCCCCCAACTCCGGGTGTCCCAGTCCAAGTGACCCTCTCACGACCTCTTCTCGCGACAAGACCACCGGGGATTCTATGGAAGGTAAGCATTGTGGTGGACAGAGTCGCAATTCTTTCGCTTTTACCGCGTCTCTTTCTCTCTCTCGAGTCTTTGAAATAGAGTTGCCGTACACATCAAAAGAAGCCTCTCAGACGGCACTCCACTACGGTGGCGCTGCTGTCGGCGTTGCGCATGCGCAGATGCTTCACATCATCCGGTTTCCGCGCACGCGCGGTCCCGCCGTCGGCAACCGCGAACTTGTTTGTAAAGAGTGTGTGTTCCTGTTCACAGTCACCGAGAGCTTCGTAATTCGTTCATCAGCGATCCGCAGCCTTATCGGCAGCGAAGGGATAAGCTCCGGACTCGTCACGCCCTGTCTTTCTTAAGCTGTATCCGTGACTAAAGTGTGTGGGAGCCGCCCGCTCCACTTCCCTGAATAGACCCTATAGCCGCGGGAAAATCACTCCGAGCTGTCCAACTGTCAGCCGGAGCGCCCCGTTTCGTGCCTCCGTGGAGCAGCCATCTTGCCTGCTTACACTCGCTTCGCATGGCTCCCCCCCCCCCCCCCCCCCCCCCCCGTGGCCCCCCCCACCTTGTGGGGACACGCGAAACGTCCCCCTGGCGGTTGGACCTTTTTGGGCCCGAGGCTGAGGCCGCCAGGAAAGAGAGTGAAAGAGAGAGGGGGGCCTTGTGCCCCGCTCGAGGTGACGGCTCGCGGGGACATCGAACTGTTCGGACGTGTGGCCCGGCCCTCCTTGACGGCCCACTTCCGAGCCCGCGCTCGGAAAGGTACGACAAGGTAAGGTATCTACCTTCCTTGTCGCCCTTAGCGTGTTTCTTATCTGTATATGATTAACACGTAAAATATACACCCGATTATTCCTTGCCTTTTGAGAGTCCCGGCTAACGGTTGCAGCCGACAGTCGAACCCGCCGCAGCGCTTAGCATGATACGCTGCGGAGTGGTAGGTTGAGCGGTCGGCCTCCTTGCCGGAGGGCGTCACCCCTTTGAGACCTCCACATTTTGGCGCCCAACGTGGGGCCACGACACCAATTGCTGTCGTGGTTTAGCATAGACGTATCGGCCGCTCCGTTCTTGTCACGCCATGTCAACGGGACGACCCGACTTCGGTCCTCTAAACACGTTGGCTGACGTGGCTACGCGAGGGCAGCCTCTTCCTGCCCCGCGCTCCCCACGCATCGCCCAGGCCACCGCTCCCCTCGGAGGCCAGCGGCTTTCGTCGACCTCGGCTTGCTCAGTCCGTAGAGCACGAAGCGGGGCGCTCCGGCTGACAGTTCGAAAGCAGCTCGGACTGCTTTTCCCGCGGCTATAGGGCCTAATCAGAGAAGTGGAGCGGGCGGCTCCTACAATTGTAATAACAATTATTGTCTCCGTATTTTTTATTTTTCATGTTTTTTTTAGGGAACGCAGAGTTACCGAGCGAATGGTTGCTGAGTGACGCGGAGATTCTGAGCAACGCATCTCTCGTTCTTTCAGTGGGGTAAGTACGCACAACCGATGTCCCGTAAACAAGAAACAAAGCTCTACCTGGATCCTCTCCCCGTTGTATTTAGAGTCAATATACGGCGAGCCACAGTGTTCCGAGATACGTGTTTGGCGCATCGTAATGCGAGGAGGAGTGTGCCAATCAATGGGAAATTGGGGCGATTACGATGGAGTTGAGCCCTCACCGTCCTTGGTTGAGTTCGCTGGAGAAAACAAAAGCACGTGGGAACTTATGGCGGCTGAACAAACGCACGAGTTCCGCAGAAGGGAGCGGACGAACTTGCAAGGCGTTGTTGCAGCATTCTCCTGTACTCACAAGCTCCGCCTCCAACACGCTCTCGTTGGATTCCGTCCTGATGGGCGGCTGCGTGCAGACACCGAAGCGCTATCGGAAAAAGAAAGCTTGCGCCGGAGAGGCCGCTTGTACCGCAGTTTACCCGTTGTCACTGTCTACAGAATGGAGCGATATCACTCCGTGAACCCTTTTCAGTTAGAGAGTATTTTGCATCGACTGGTACTTCGAATTTAAAAAAAAAGTTGGATCGACCTTTTTTTAATCATCGGATCAAAATCATTTACCTTCGGCACTCCTAAGTCAAAAGAAGTGAAATACGCTCCCACTGAGCGCAAAAGAATGAAGCGCTTTCAGAATGAAGGCTATAAATGCCCAACCTTCTGCGAGTCTCCGTTCAGTCACCAGATACGTTAAGGAAATTGTAATCTAGCAATTAACGCACACTTTTAAGTAAAAATCCTTTCGCTAAAACCGTAAAATATCGATGTTGAGCCCACTGACAACACCAGGGTCAATATATATATATATTTTCTTTCTTTTTCTTTACCGTCTTAAGCGCATTGCAAGCGCGTCGTAAAAAAAAAAAAAAAAAAAAAAAAAATCATCGCGAAAAAAAAACAAAAAACTTTGGCGTGCGATAGCACCCGCCAAACTTCGAGTCTTCGTCCCCCGATTGGTAGCTCCTCCTTGCTTCTTTTTCTGGTGACGTAATTGGCGAATGCATTTTTGAAAATGTTATGAGATGTCGCAAGTTGCATGTCTATTAATTAATATTGTCATTCTTAAAATATATATATATTTTTTTACCAACGACTATAAAGGCGCTACGATACTGACTCCGAAAAATAAAAATCAGAGACCGGAGGTGTTCATGATGAAACATCGGCCGTCTCCTAGCGTTTTCTTCATACTTGCAACATGGCGCACCCGGCGGCTGCGCTGCGAGCGTTGAGGGGGGCAGCGCACAAAAACAAAATACCAAAAACGCTCACACAAGTTTTTTTTTTTTTTTCAAGGTAAATTTTTATGCAGCGCCTTTGCGACATCGCCCATCACGTCGCTCACCAAGGTCTGCTACAGATCGTATTCTTCCTCGCCTTTTTTTCTTAATCATAATGTACTGACTAACGCTGATGAAAAAAAAAAGAGAGGCACTGAAAAGTAACTCGTTGCCTGCAAGCGAAGAGACTACTGTCGCGGTTGGCCGGGTGGCACGTGCTCGTGGCAATGAAACCATGAGAAGAAGAAAGAAACATAAACCACGCTTCCTGTTTTGATATCATGAAAGACGGCAAGCAGTGCACCATTTCTCTAACTACGTCATAGATTCGGGCGTAGTTCTGAAAAACCTTTTTTTTTCCTTTTTTTTTTGCACATACTCAGTTTTGGTTTTTGCTATTTTTAGGGCGATCCCTGGAAATCATTGTCAGTCGTTTGCAGTGAAAACAAATGTTGGGATTGTCAGAGGCCTTTCGAAGCCGCACATTGACGCTGTTCCGTAATTGATACGAACGACACGCTGTCCGCTGGCGACGTGACAAACACATCAGCGGACACGCATCAAGAATATGTTCCAACTATGTTTGTTTTCTATGAAAACAAAATATGCTTAGAACAGGCCTCAAGACAGTTTTTGTATGACCTATGTAAAAAGACCGTCGTACACTTGGAAGAAACCGGCCTAGTGTCTGCGCGCAGACTGCCTTTTGTACGATGTCTAAAGCAGCAGTCCCACTTTCAGCACATTACGAATCTCGCTAATCTGAGCCCGAGGGGAGCCCGAACTTCGTTCGAACAATGCAAAGTCTGAATTACCGGGAGTTTCCTCGCTAGAAACACAGCGGACGTGACCTGCGTGTTAGTTCGAATTATCCGCGAGTTCGAATTAAGAGGATTTGACATAACGAGATTCCGCTGTGCACAAAAGAGAGTATGAAGACACTGTCTGAGGTACGACGGTCCTGTCACATCGGTCGTGCAAAAACTGTCGGCAGACATTTTCGAAGCGTACACATGTAGGAAGCAAAACCATGGCTGTCATCACGCCTGCGACAGACCTTGCGTATTTTTGTACATCATGTACGAGCGGTGCGGGCATAAAACCGGGATCACACTGCCCATACATCGTACAAAAGACAGTCTGCAAACAGGAGTCACCGCAATATCCGTGGTTCGAATACCGCCGTGTGACAAGCTTTCTCCTTGAACTTGTTGCCACGCGGTATTCGAAGCAGAGATCCCGCGGTGACTCACGCTCAAATATGCGTGCAGACCGTTTTTTTTTTTTGCATGATATATACAAGCAGAGCTTAAGAGATTTTTTTTTCTCGAGACACTTACATGGGGTTTACCTAATACTGATCTCTTTCACGCATACGCCTGCAACCGTGTTCAACATCAGGACAGTGAACTTGAGCAAGTACTTGTGTTGGATGTTGTATCTCCTGGCGAAACATCAGGACGTACAGAAAAAAGTGAAGGCTGAGGTTCAGAAAATTCTCGTGACTGAGGTAAGCTGTTAACAATGCACCGATCTCCCCTCGATATGTTTTTGTTTCTTTTCATTGTAAAGTTTTTTTTTTCTCGAACTGCTGTCTCGTAGTCTAAACATGAAATGTCTTAACGCCCATCAGGGTGCTATCAACTATGGTACCGTGACCAAAATGCAGTACTTGGAACAAGCGCTGAAGGAAGGACTGCGAATGCATTCATCTCCATCGGGGTAAACATTTAAAACCTTGTTGTTCTCTTGTTTTTTTTTTTTTTTTTGCTGTTTTTTTTTTTTTAATTTAGATTCAACTTAGTAATTCAACTAACATAGTCGAGTGAAATATTTTCTCCGTAAAAAATGGGAGGAAAAACCATGCCTGTTCGGAATGCCCTAAATAAATACGTCAACAACTCCAGCTCAGTCATGGAAGTTTAATTTTATCGCAACCGTACTTAAGGACCCTCCCATTCAGATTTTATTTAGGACTGCTGAATCATCGCAAACTATGCAATTTTTTTTAGAAATAGGTCTACAAGTTGATCGTGAGATTGTCTCAAGTACGAAGCACGACAAGTAAAGTTGATACGAAAATGGCGAAGGCGTAATATAGTCAAGGGCAAAGGACAGTGCCTCCCTTGTCGAGGAAGTTCTCACAGAGGCTGTTTCAGCTTCCTTTTAGGCTTGTGTCGAATAGCTGAGCAGACTTATACATCATAATTTGATTGAACTCCGCTGCTGTCTCAAGGGTGGAACTAAGAATAAAGCATGACATGCACGAGTGGCGAATTGCGCTTACTCGTGCGTGTCTTGTTTCTTCCCTAGAATCCCAGTGTCAGTTAACGTCCGAACCTCAGCAACGTGGTTTAATCAAGGAATGATAAACTAAACCCAACTATACTTCGTTTTAAGTCCAGACGCAGCAAATGCGAAACGAAGTGTAGTCCAATCGCAGCACTCTTATACGTGGTAAGTTAAAGACAACACTGTTACTTGTAGAATATTACCTTTCTAATAAAAAAGTAATGATTTTTTTTTTTTTGGGGGGGGGGGGTTGATTAGGAACGATTAACGTAAAAAGAGTGCAGAAATGAAATGACAAATGTTTAATACGTTGCTCGGGGAATCGCTCAGGCACCTTCGAAGTGAAGATAACGAACGAATAACCCGTTAAGAACCCTTCTAATTTAAAAATAACAACATAAAAGACCTATTTAAGGAGAGAATTGCCCGTCCCGTTTTCAGGTTCGTCACTCGACTGGCGGAAAAAGATATCGACACCGGAAGCGTCGTAATCCCGAAAGGCGTGAGCATTCTCATTCCAACGTACATCCTCCACAAGGATTCCGAACTCTGGGAGGACCCGGAGCGCTTCGATCCCGAAAGGTGCCATGTTTTGATACCGGCCTCAGCACAGAGCTATACTCGTATCCGCCTCAAAAACCGTAATACAAAAAAAAAAGAGACCGGCTTTTCGCGGAACATCACCAATTTCTCCTTTCCTGCGTTGAATTAAAGATTAGTGTAGATGCGTCTTAAATCAGCTTCAATTTTTTTTTTATGCAGACGCGCACGTCTTCTACCTATTATATCTCATACGACATACCTATGACTAATTTTACGTAATTATATGTACAAACCACTTCCCGCAGCGCATGGATAACGCGTAAAACGTCCCTTTACCTTGATGAGACAACAAGTTGAGAGTCATAATAAAACTTGCGGGGGCATAGCTCCGCTATGCCGGGATATACGTAGCTTGAGTTTATGCGCACAAAATGAGAGGCGCTATCAAGCGGCTCCGGTGCAGCGTCAGACTTGGCTACTCCGCAACGGAGGCGCACACCTAAGCACGTGGTGGCGCCAGCGTGTGTGCCGGGGCTATGACGTCACTCCTCTGTAATGCGCAGACCGGCGAGCTGGGAGAGGTGGGCGCGGCAGCGGCTTCGCGTGGCTCTCGTAATGAGCCGTGCTTATTATGCGTGCTCATGGAGCGCGCGGCGCCGTGCGCCCTGATCATTATGCGGAGCTCCGCCGCCGCCGCCGTGCGCTCCGCATAATGAGCACGGCTCGCATAATGAGCACGGCTCATTATGAGGGCCACGCGAAACTGCTCAACCTCGGCCAGTGTAGCTAACGCTACAATCAGTTACGTTGAAGGCGGACTTGTATGTAGCGATTTACAATTAACCTGTTACTTGTACCTATAGTCCGTTGCAACCTAAGAACGAAGGGCGAGGGGAAGACGGGCCGGGGAGGAGGAAGCAGACGGAACGCTGGAGAAGAGAGGGGGGAACCTCATTCTCTCATTAGCGTCCTGTCTGCTTCCTCCTCCCCAGCCCATCTTACCCTCGCCCTTCGTTCTTAGGTTGCAACGGACTATAGTTACATTTTCCCATAACGAAGCAACGACCTAGTTACTTTTTTTAGAATAGATGAGTAAAGCATTTTTGTTCCATTTAGATTAAGTAACAAGTAACGATATTTAGTTTCACCTGGAGGCAAACGCATACAACACAAATACCGAATCTATGTAGCTGTCCCCCGAGCTCGCGCCTGTAATTTGCACGACGAGAAGACGTTAGATTGAGCAGACAAGTGTGTGCACAAGGTAAGTCGGTACAGGCACAGTTATTCCCGGATGAACGCATTAAAAACCGAGGATTTATTAACGGCGACGAAGATCGGAAATGGCTACCGCTTCATAAAAACGACGCGTTCGGAGTAACGAGAAAATTACGCGTCTCTTTTAAATGGCCCGACAATGAACATACTTCGTTACTTCTTGAATGAGTGACGATTAACCGCATTAAGTTATACCACTAACGTGAACATGTCTGGCTGAAGGCTGGTTCACACACTTGCGACTGCTTACGACCGAGTGCGTTGCGACCTCTTGTGACGTCTTGCGACGAGAGAACACCCTGGCGCCATCTATGAGGTGGCCCTGGAACTGCACTTCACTACCGCGAAGGTTTTGCGCTCTTTGTGAGATCAAATGTACGTATGTGCTGCCTATGAGAAATTGCCATATTTAAAATTGCCAAACACTTTTTTTAAGCAGTAGTGAAAGAATAATGCTAAAAAAATAGCAAATATATGGACACTCCAAGTGTTCCGCGGCCCCCCGATAGATGGCGTCGTAAGAGATCACGAGAGGTCGTAGGTCACTTGGTCATACGCAGCCGCAAGTGTGTGCACGAGTCTTTAGAGTATCGCCATTCTATTCGCCAATCGTCTTGTCAACCGCGCCTGGCTCCGTCTTTTACGTTGAGTTTCGAAGGTTTCGCGCAAAACTTTGGTTAATTCGATCAGGTACGGTTCATTCATCCGCATATTTCGCTTATTTCCTCCTTGGAGACAACATACGATTCTGAAAAGAGCACGTGATATATTCAAACGTGGCTCTTGATTCTCGCAGATCATGATGACACCCTGTCCCTAAAGCTCATAAACAAAAATAATGTATTTACACGTGACAAGAAAAGAGTAAGGGAATTTCCGGAGCACAACGAGTACATAACACGTGCAAGCAAGCCTCGTACCACGTTCCACGCGCCAGTGCTTACGTGTCTTCTCGTCCTTGTTTTTTGGCGCCTATCTTCTATTATGAACCAACTGGCCTCAATTGCCATCTTAAGGCTTCCGGAGCCCATCTGATAAGATACATTTCGTTTCTGGCGCATTATAACACTCATAGGAAACACCAGAAAGTCAAGGGGGAGTGATTAGAACACCCGCACGGGCCCCTGTCCGTGCGGGTCTTCTAATCATACCTAGAGGTCAAATCCTGGCTCCACCGTTTATGTTGACATTCGGCGGTTTCGTAGTACTTCGATTCATTCGATCAAATACGGTCCGTACTTCTGCACATTTTCGATTATTTCTTATATACTGTAAACAACTTAATTATCGCGGGCTCAAATTTTCACGAATCGGGCTAAAGCTGAAAATTTTAAATTACTCGCGGGTTCTAATTTTAGCGAATCGAGTGTAGCTGCCGCAGCGTTCACATATTTCCCGAATCTTTCGCGGAACGTATTTTTCGCAAATTGTAGGCCATTCGCGCAAATCGCGAAAATTAGGTCCTCGCGAAAATTTAGTCGTTTACAGTATAGGTATTGTACATTATTCGGCCCGCGACGGCACGAGGGTCATATGGGCACCATGACAGAACAGCACACGACATAAGAGCACGCGACAAAACAGCACGGTCAAAACAGCACGCGTCAAAACAGCACAGCGTCAAAACAGCACGGCGACAGAACAGCACGCGTCAAAATAGCACGCGACAAAACAGCACAGCGTCAAAACGGCACAGCGACAGAAGAGCACGTGCCAAACCAGCACGGCATCAAAACAGCACGACGTCGAAACAGCACAGCGACAAAACAGCCCAGCGTCAAAACATGAAATTTACAATATAACTAGAGCTCGGCGTTTTCGATTTGTATTATTTGAAATTCCGCGCACTTTGTTTTTGGATTTTATTCCAAACAGAAGTTTTCGGTTTATTGCGGTGAATATTTGTAGACTCAAGAACTTGTAAGTTATATTCGGTTTATTGACGAAAACCAGTATACTAACGAAAATGCAATAATTAAAAGCGTTTGTGTAAAATGTATACTGAGTACCAGGTGCTGATCTTCTTATTTGTTGCCGTCTTTGGCAGCCGACATGACCTGTTCTGTAAGACGCACTGGGGCCTTATCCTGATCTGACATTATCGTCGTGTGCTCGCATTTGTACACAGGACGAGCATGAGCTTCAGTACCACTTCGGTCGGAGAGGCAAATATCAAAATGGAGAAATTAGCAAGCATTGTACTCGGTGCGTTTTCCACCAGTTTCGTAACTGCGAGAGGTGATAAACTCGCGCCGACGGCAGAAATGACAATAAAACACTCGTATTTATGCCCTTCTCTAGTAGACGGAAGTTGGGTGTGTTAAAAAATGCGCGGCATTCACGGACACTCTTGATTTCCATTGTTTGATTTCACGATTAAACCCTCTTCTTTTAACAAAGAATTCGGCACAGATCTCTATCAGGTGAAAAACCCAGATTTTGTCCTGAAGACCCCTGCACCCCCGCAGCTTTTGATGAAAGTTGAACCGATCTCGCAGGCAAGCTGAAAACTGCGAAATGAAGTGGTCATACGGTCAGTAATGAGTAGGGTTCCGTGTTTTCGGAGTTTAGTTTTCGTGAAGTTCGGAGGGTGTTTTTCTGAGTTTATTTTTTGCCGAAAATTCGGAGTTTATCGGAGTTTATTTTTGTTTGATTCTGAATTCTCCAAAATATGGAGCTCAATTTCGCAGTGTTTCTTATTAAAAATAAACAAATAATATCCAAATGTAAACGTATGCTGGAAAAAAAAAACGTGATTAAATCAATTAATATTTTCTTCAGTTGGATTTGGCGTTGGTGCCATTGCTACTGGCAATACTAATTTGTCATAGAACAAAAGTGGCACACAAGTGTTATTTCGATAAAAGTCGATACCTTAAAATTAATAACCTACTGGAGGTAGCCGCTGGGAAGTCTGTATTCATTCCATGCTATTCCATCAACCTACCGCGTGGCCGCAAGATGTAGAGTGGAAAAGGATTAGATAGAGAAGTTTCATCTGTTCTCTTCCCTACTTTATGTAATTGCTGTGGTCCATAGCTTTCACGGTTACAAAAACACAACCTCTCCTTCCTCTCAGGCACAAATAATATGACCCAAACCGGAAACATAAACAGTAACTTTTGTCTTGACCCGATAGTAAAATGACCTGCTGTCCTGACCGAGATTTGAAACATAAGTGTGGTGGCATGTTCCCAGGACCATTTACTCTATGCGCTGATTAAACCATTAATTGTAAAATATGTTTCTGTGTGTGTGGCCCAAAGGAGGGGGGGGGGGGGGGGCGGGAGGGGATTGGTAAATCGAAATTCAGAGTTTATCAGATATATCTGAATAGACGAAACTTTTACCGGCGGGCGTTTTTCGAATTTATCTGAAGACACGCAACCCTAGTTGTGAGTCACATTCTCCCCCCCCTCCCCCCCCCCCCCCACCCCCCGCATACACACACCACTCCAAACGCCCTCGGAAATACTGAACTTTTTCAGTTAAGACCGATTTTGGAATAATGAATTCGGCGTACTTTTACCGGTTATATTCGGTTTAACCCAAAACCACTGAACTCTAAATATAGCGTTTGAAGTTAAAAAATGCACGTCTCAAATAAGGCACTGTAAAGGAATTGAGGTTCTAGGCCAATTAGTGAAAAGCCAACTCGTCGACAGTCAATTTTTCGAATCTGTGCGTTTCGAGGCAAGTTCGGAGGGGAGTGCACTCGATGCGCGCATGACGGTTCCCTGGGCGGTACCAAAGCCCCGCTGGTGCGTATACTGGCTATTTTGTAGCGTGAGCTACACTGGCCGAGGTTTAGCAGTTTCGAGTGGCTCGCATAATGAGCCGTGCTGCGCATGTGCGAGGAGCAGTGACGTCACACGGCGCACAGCTGGCGCGCCGGAGCCACCGCCGCCGCCGCACCCGCAGCCACCGACGCTGCCGCGCCCGCGTCGCCGGTCTGCGCGTTCCAGAGGAGTGACGTCATAGCCGCGGCAGACGCACTGGCGCCACCGCGTGCCCAGCTGTGCGCCTCCGTTGCGCAGTAACCAAGTCTGACACTGCACCGGAGCCGCTTGATAGCGCCTCTCATTTTGTGCGCATAAGCTCACGCTACGGATAGCCGAGCTAAGCCACCACAATTTTCTAGCAGTTTTGCTCATTTTGACGCACAAGTTTGCTGGTGATATCGTCTACAATAAATAATTCAATCGCACGGCAATGTGCTGTCGTTAGTTGTTTAAAAAAAACAAAAAAAAAAACAAAGCGTGTGCGGCAACGGTGTGTTCAGCCCATGCTGCAGTGTAAGGCCACAGCATTCAGGCTGCAGCATGTTACTGCTTCACCGGTTTCCACTCGATCAAGGCCTTCGTCGGCAATAATCTGTGAATTTAACTCTAAACGTACAACTTCTCGCCTGCAAGCTCCATCCTCGTGTTTCCAGCGAATTAACCCCGCAGAATCGGTGCCCATGATACACCTTGAATACGCTCCACGTTAAAGTGACATTATCTCACCGGTTCTATCAATGCATCTGTGATCGGCGTATCTCCCGCTTTTTTTTTTCTTTTTTTTTTGGGAGGGGTGGGGGGGATGTTCTACGCTTAGGTGGTAATTACGAAACTACGAGTACTACAGAACATCACCGGACCGCCACATACCAGGCAGTTCATAAGTTGAACTTATTGATATCTTTTAGAGCGCAGCTCTTAGGGGCCCGTTTCCGGCTTGAGCGGCGTCGGCGTCGCCGTCGGCGTCGCCGTCGCCGTCGGCGTAACCGCGCGGTGCATCATGGGAAATGTCCCATAATGCACCGCGCGAGCCCCCCACCGGGGTCACGTGACCTCGTGGGGGGCACGTGACCCCCCCGAGGTCACGTGACCCCGGTGCATCATGGGAAATGTCCCATAATGCACCGCGCGAGTCCCCCACCGGTGTCACGTGACCTCGTGGGGGGCACGTGACCCCCCCGAGGTCACGTGACCCCCCGAAGTCACGTGACTCCCCTGAGGTCACGTGACCCCCGCCGATGTCGCGTGACCCCCAATGACGTCATCGTCACTGATGACGTCACCGGCATCCACATCGTCATCGTCATCATCACTGATGACGTCACCGGCATCCACATCGTCATCGTCATCATCACTGATGACGTCACCGGCATCCACATCGTCATCGCCATCATCACTGATGACGTCACCGGCATCCGCATCGTCATCGTCATCATCACTGATGACGTTACCGACATCTGCATCGTCATCGTCATCATCACGGATGACGTCATCAGTGACGTCACTAATGTCGTCACCGGCATCCACATCGTCATCGTCATCGTCACTGATGACGTCACCGGCATCCGCATCGTCATCGTCATCATCACTGATGACGTCACCGGCATCCGCATCGTCATCGTCATAATCACTGATGACGTTACCGAAATCCGCATCGTCATCGTCATCATCACTGATGACGTCATCAGCGACGTCACTGATGACGTCACCGACATTCGCATCGTCATCGTCATCATCACTGGTGAAGTAATCAGTGACGTCACTAATGACGTCATCGGTACCCGCATCGTGATCGTCAATGATGACGTCATCAGTGACCTCAGTGATGACATCATCGGCATTGGGGGTCACGTGACCCCCAAGGTCACGTGACCACCCCCTGGTTAGTTTAACCCCCCCCCCCCCCCCCAGTGCCCTTCCCTCCTTCTCCTCAAGAGCTGTGCTCTAATTCGGCGTTACAGGGAGTTGTAAGCAGCTTTCACTTTTTTACCAATAACTTTTCCTCTTTCCCTGATACTTCAAAAAACACCAGACAACGAGCCAAGATCGACGCGAAGGAATCCTTTCTAACTACCCCAATCTCTTCAGAGATTAGCGTAGCTAAGTACTAGTAACTACTGCTAACTTTATTTGCTTTTAGCAATCACATAGCAGCAGCACTCGGGACACTGGCTTGAGTGCGATCCCGTCGCCGCCAGCTTACTTTTTTTTTTTATGGTTTCTCCACTAGCTGTTAAATAATGCCATGCAATATCCAACCCTTTTTCTTTACGTTCTGTTTTGTTTTCATAAAACGCTACCTATTTCATCCTTTTTACATGCGTGCTGTTTTGTCGTTCTGCTGTTTTGACGCCGTGCTGTTTTGGCACGTGCTCTTCTGTCGCTATGCCGTTTTGACGCTGTGCTGTTTTGTCGCGTGCTACTTTGACGCGTGCTGTTTTGTCGCCGTGCTGTTTTGACGCTGTGCTCTTTTGACGCGTGCTGTTTTGACCGTGCTGTTTTGTCGCGTGCTGTTTTGTCGTATGCTGTTCTGTCGCGTTCCCGGTCATATGCAGTGCCTCGTGCCACCCTGCTGCATTTCCAATATTTCCAACCATCTAGCATGCAACTAATAAAACAAACGAGGAAACTAAATTGGTTGGTAATTTTTTTTGCGGTTATATTTTATGTATTCTATCTTTAATATTTTCCTTTTATGTTCTTCCTTTCATTCATATATATTTTCTCTCTCTTTCTCGTTATAGAGTAGCCGATGTCATTTAAAGAATACCAACATCTCCATAATAAAGAACTTATCTCTCTCTCTCTCTCTCAAACGAGGAGAAAAAATAAGATAATTAAGTATCAAAATTGATAATCAACGTACGTGTAACTCTAAGCTCAACTGAAGAAACCAACTCATATTTCACTCACTTCAATGAATCTAAATGATAAAATGTTTCCGATATCTTATGAAAATAATGTTGAATATAATGACATCTATTTATTTTGCTTTCTGTGTATGCTTTTGAAAGAATAAAAGTTTAAATGCGCCTGGGAGCTTTCGGTTTCGTTGGAAGTTACTCATTTTACATAGTACTGTTTTATTAAAATAACATACTAGTTCACTTATTCTACAGTTAAAATCCCCCAAAATACGCAGTTTCTTACATTTTCCAACATCGTCGTACATCGTTCCATAGACGATATTACTCTCAATATTGTGGAGCATTTTGTGTGATTTTAGCTTTTTTTATAATTTGAGCACATGCCATATAACGAGATGCCATATCAAGGAATGGATTCATCCAACTCAATATACGCTGTTTTTCCTAAGAGAAACGCTCGGCATACTACGGATCCTATACAAGAACGCTGAAACGATGCGCATTCATTTGAAGATAATTTTAACGCGATTATTCCAAGAGTAGTTTTCATCGATATGCATACCCAGATATTCAGTTGTTGTGACATAATGTAATCGTACGCAATTACAGTTTACACAATTTTATGAATGCTGGAATATAGAAATCATCAGGTTCAGGCTTTTACACGGAGTATGAAAGCACATTGACTTAGATTTATTAGGGTTAACAAAAATACAATTATCTGAAAACGAAATCACATCTCAACATCATTCTGAAGAACTTAAAGGGCGCATGTTTCTTCCTCGTGACTCAATACCAAACCGTATCATCGGCATATTGATACTGCTGAGATGCAAACGGGAGGGATTCATTTTGATTCAAGTAAATATTGAACAAGATCGGTTCGAATACTGATCCCTGGGGCGCTCCAGAGTTTAAGGGGCATTTCAAGTTGCCGATTTTAACTAACGGATAAAGGTCAGTAACTAACTGATAAAAGTGCCTTGTGCAGAGCGGGCGTAATGGACCTTTTGCGGGAATCCCAAAAGACCCCGCGCAAAGTTCTCCCCTCTCTACCTTGCACCCGCAGCACCTACACTCTAAAAAAAAGCCTGTGCGTGTGCTTTTCCACACAACACTCTGGGAGCCAATCACCGCAACTTACGGAGGGAGCTCAACGAATGACAATGCCGAAACATATGTTTAGACCAAAAAACGCAGTCTGAGTTGTGACATTAGGCAATGCAAGCGTGACGTTTTGGATTGCTTAATGTCCCAACTCAGACTGCGTTTTTTGGTCTAAACATATGTTTCAGCATTGCCATTCGCTGAGCTGCCTCCGTAAGTTACGAAGATTGGCTCTCCGAGGATTGTTCGTGAAAGTAGACGCACAAACTTTTTTTTAGAGTGTACCAGGTGACACTGAAGAGAGCGCCTGCCCGCTCACGCTAGCCTCCAAGGTCACCTCTGTCGTCTGCTCGAACCAGTCGTACCTAGCGTTCCCGGCATTCCTTTCGGCGCAGCGGAAGGCGCTGCACGTTTTGCGAAAGATCTAATGGCGAGCCTTACGATTCAAAAGCATGTGCGCAATTCAAGCAGGCACAAATTACAACCCGTGCAGTTTTCGTGCTTGGAACCAATATTCTTTCCTACTCAAAAACAATTGTCCCCAGATGAATTTCTTTGACTTGTCGAGTGAAGCATAGCTGCTATATATTCGAGTGGTTGTGAGCTGTGGTTGTCACGTTCACCGATGTTCTGCTAAGTCTCGTAACACGCTCCCAGAGAGACCTGTTCCTGCTGTGACAAAATCAAGCGTTGTTTTCCCCCTCAGATTTGCCCCTGGGAACAATAAACCAGTGGAAGTGGACTCAATAGCGTTCCAGCCCTTCGGCGCTGGACCTCGAAACTGTTTCGCAATGATGTTTTCCAAAGTCATCCTGATGCTCCTGCTGGCAAAAGTACTCTCAGAGTACAGGCTCGTTCTCAACGACGATCACCACAAGGTTAGCGCTGTTGTCTATAGGCTAGGTGGCTCAAGCTACCACCCCCTCTAAAGCGAGGAGCCGTTAGAATACATGGATACATCCGTCCGCTGGGCAAAATATGGCAGCATCAATAGAGCCAAAAAATAACCTGTTTTAAGCCGCAGTTACCCTACTTATGCACCATGCTTATGCTTATTTATTTATTGATGCGCACCAACAGCAACATGCCTTCCCGGTGGTGCATTACAACGCAGACGAAAAAGAGAGATGCACACATGAAGCACTAACATTTTACAATATAATTCACATATCCTATTATAGTTCTGACATTACTAAGTTCGAATTATATTTTGATTCCGTGCTGCCTTTTATTTATCCAGAAAATACCACGTGCCATTTAATGAGCTTGTGGAACGAGACACGTGGCACTTCATTATTTTAAGAACAATAAATTAGCACACTTGTATTAGTTAAAGAACTCTTCAACAAACAGTAAAACACAATTTGCTTTATTGATTTCGTACTTCAACACATTAATTATAAAGTATATTTGTTCCTTGTTGCAGCTGGACATGACTGATCGAGACATGGAGGATATGCTTGCTGCAGGTTACGTTGAGCGAGCACGCTTGATTACATTTGAAAAGCACTGAAAGTTTGCCTGTTATTTCCCAAGAATAATTGTTAACACCATGCTTGCTGAATCAAAAACAATAGCGGACTAAAGTGGTAAATTTTGGACAATAAACTGCGAGAGCTAATATAAGATATGCTGCTCGACGACAAACCGGCACATCGCATTGCAAGAGCATTAAGCCCTGTTACATTCAGGGCGACGTCAACATAAAATATTCGTCAACAGCAGTTATTGTTTGTTCTTCGTTAAGGTATCCGACAATTATTTTACATCGCGGAAACAGCGGCACAAGCACGACACCATGAACGACAATGTCCCGGTCATCGAAGCGGCTCTCTGAACCAAATATTATTATTAAACAGAACATTGTGCTGCTCCAGTGCTACCCAACAAATGGCGCCAGTGCCTTACTCTCGTCAACTATTGTCACTCTCGTCGTAGGAGAGCCTAGATTGTCTGAGTGTTTCCAACTGCACGATCAGGGTCACACAGTTTCTGGGCCTCGACTGCGATAAAAGCAGAATGAGGTGACGAAAGCGTTGATCGTCTCTGAACGTCTCCGCCTTTCCGTCCACTTTCCTCCTCTCCATGCGACGATGCAACGCATGCGCACTTGCGACCAATCTGCCCAAGAGGCGTCCGCCATTTAATTGCAGACGCTCTCAGTGGTTGGAGTTACTCCCTCTCCTACTCGTCGTATGCGGTTATACTGGGTAGCTAAACTCGTGGAGCAAAACATTCTTCGATTTTTGACGTAGCGGGGGGAGTGACCAAAAGAACGCCGCAAAGTTTCCTCCTCCCTGCGCGCGCTCAACTTCGCAACTTTTGCCGAAAAATCCCCCTCGATCCCTAGGCGGTGCTAGGGAGCCTTCATGTGCGCTTTGCTAGGGTGATGCCACCCTTTGTAATACCACTCGCCGACAAACCAGCAGCCATTTTGTTCCTCGGCGATAATCCGTGGGGCTTATAACCCTCCCGGAAACAAGCACCTTATCTCAGAAGTTCGGAGCAGCGTTGTGGAACCCACGGAGGGAGGATTAGCATTTTCCCCCTCGGATGGGATTACCGATGGACACAAAGGCCACTTTCCGGCGCACGGGGAAACAATGAGAGAAACAAAATGGCGGTGGAAGAGGGTGTGGGAAAGGGAAACAGGCAGTTGGCATCACTCTATGCGAAGCGCACATGTAGAGTGCCTTTATGTACGCTTCGCATAGAGTGATGCCAACTGCCTGTTTCCCTTTCCCACACCCTCTTCTACCGCCATTTTGTTTCTCTCATTGTTTCCCCGTGCGCCGGAAAGTGGCCTTTGTGTCCATCGGTAATCCCATCCGAGGGGGAAAATGCTAATCCTCCCTCCGTGGGTTCCACAACGCTGCTCCGAACTTCTGAGATAAGGTGCTTGTTTCCGGGAGGGTTATAAGCCCCACGGACTATCGCCGAGGAACAAAATGGCTGCTGGTTTGTCGGCGAGTGGTATTACAAAGGGTGGCATCACCCTAGCAAAGCGCACATGAAGGCTCCCTACGCACATGAAGGCACTCTAGGCGGTGCACGAGAGCACGAGACAGCGCGGGGAGGCGAGCGTCCACGCCGCTGGCTGTACGTTGTCTTTGAGCTCTCTAGTGCCGACAATCCCGTCATGCCTCGCCCAGGCGAGGAGCGAGAGCAGACGACGAGAGTTCGTCTGCTACGATGAGGCATTCGCACAGCGGAACTGAAAGAAAAATTATGCAATAAAACTTTCGTTGGGGCTACTTGGTTCATATCGGTTAAAAGGTTAAAAGGCGCGAACAAACAGGACGAAAAAGGAGACACGTACGACAAGGACAGGCGCCTGTCCGTGTCGTACGTGTCTCCTTTTTCGTCCTGTTTGTTCGCGCCTTTTAACCTTTTAACTGAAAGAAAAAGTTGGTTTTCTTCTTCACGAAATCGCGTCCCGCGGGCCACAAACTCAAACGCGAGCTTGAATTGTAAGCGTCTTATATTTCAAGAAGGGAGGAATCGACGGCCCGTGTTTTTTTTTGCAAAATTTGAGTCGTTTTGTAGCCGTACAGACGCTGAAACCTACCAGTGTGTAATGAAAGGCCCAGGACAACCACAGAGACCGCGAGATCTAGCATCATTTGTGTATGGGTGAAAAGTGGAAAATTTTTTAACAAAGCTCTAACAGCAGAAACATGTGACGCATTCACTCAGCGTCCGGGAAGGCTAAACATAGAAATGTTGCCCGAGACTCAAGCAAAGTCATATTTGAACGGCAGCTATCTTGCCCCGTCATATTTTGTTTTGAGAACGCTCTCGTTCTCAATGCCCTCACCAGGGAAATAAAAAGTCTTACGAAACGTATTGCTAGATGTTCCAAAGAACTAGATTTAAGCCGTATCCTTTCAGTGGTTCACTGATAATACTATGCTTAAAACGAAGCAAGCTCTTGCGCGCACAGTGCCATCAATTTCCTCAAGTGTATGCTGGTTTGTAGTCAGCTGGTTTCGGAAACTTACGCCGTCTGTATATATCTCTGACAGCCGAGTTGCTTAAGTGGAAGTCATCGCAAATGTAAGTTCCACGTTGCAGCAACCAACGTTCAAACGATGGAAGCGACTGCACTCTCGCATTTCCACCCATCACGTCGAACAAAAAGGCGCTAGTTTCGGTTTGAGGTCGGTACTTTTCTACAACATCTATGGCGGCAGCATCAGTCTGCATTCGGCAAGTTCGTTCGGGGCATGTTCTCCGTGCAGCACTCGGCGGGTGTAATGAATTAGAACTCTCACAGTACAAGTCTGGATCGCGAATCGGGAGCCCGTCGCTGGCGTCACTGGCGGCCATTGCTTGACGACAGGCAATACGCCGCGTCCTGTCTAGTTCTCCCTTCGTTTTCGTCCTTGTTGTTTTGACCTATTACACCATGAGGCAATGCACGCAAGTCTAAGGGAGAAACACGCAAAAATTGGAAGCTTGTACGCGGTGCTCGAGGGCGAGCATTTTATGACGTGCTGCGATGATTATGTCGGGTTCTTGGAGATAAATAGACATACGTCAAGCGTTTGAACATCGATTGAAAACAAAAATTGGCCGGAGCACGACTGATTTTACCGACGTCGCTTGCTTCGGTTGCTAAATAAATGGCACGTTCAGCGACTGAACGGCACGCTCCGAGTTTCAGTTTGTCACGGAAGCCCTCACAGCAGTTCAAAGAAAAAGCTTTCACCATGAAGCACTATGTACAAGCGGTCCAAACGATGCGAATGTCCCCAGTAAAGGCATTCTAATATCGTTTGCTGAGCTTTGATCACTCCGAAATCACGGATGACTCCACAATAACTCTCGGTAGCCCTTGTCACATTAAACACATCACAGTTAACGCCCAACAAAATCGCCCTGGACCCAGTGTTGTACACGTTCCTCAAAAAAAGTAACGAAAGGTCGTTCCTCGTTCCTTCTGATTTTTGGAACGCGTTCCCGTTACAAGTTCCATATGTGAAAAAGGAACTCGTTCCCGTTACAGTTTAAGAAATGGAACGTATCGTTACATATACGTTACATTTGTATTTTTTTGCTAATTACCATATTTACTTAGATCAAACAAAGTTTTTTTTTATCTATCCCATTAATAGTCAGCTTACGATTTTGTATGTCGTAATGGAAGGGCAACAGGAGAAGAAAACACGCGGAAGCAGGGTTTCATCTGTTGATATGTTCATGTTAAAAACCTCAGCTATTAACCATCTCCATGTTTGTAGCGGATAATTTGAGACGAGCCGAATGTACTTTTATCCAAGATTGCACGAGCGTTTTACAACTACCTCACACGTTTCAATTCAACAGAGTCCTGTGTTAGAACTTAACAACAGTTGCTTCTCGATGTTGCTGTCCGTAAGACGAGCAAGTGAAGGAGAGGATGGGGGCTTTTGGAAAGTCTGTCTTGAAAGCTAGAAATACTTCGTTGTGAAAGTTGGATTTGTTGTTCAGTTTGAAGGTGGGGGACAATTGTAGGAATAAAGGTTATTATTTTTTTTTTGTGTATCTTTTAAGTGAATAATGGTCGGAATACAAGGGTGAGTCCGATATCTGGCAACCTGCGATCTTGTTGTAATTGGAGGTCTCGTTATTGAAGTTCAAAAATGGCTGTAGTTGGAAAAATATTTCTGGGTGTATGAGGATTCGTGGAACCAAAAAAAGCAGCTGAGTTTGAAACAACCCTCTTCCTTTGTCTTTTACTATACGACTAAAAGTTTTGCTTTTTGTACCACAGTTTCGGGCACTTAAAAAAGTATCAATGCCCGCAGCTCTCCTGCACCCGAAACTGTTAGCAAGCAAGGACCACACAAAATAATCTATAAGATTAGTAGCCAAAACGTTAAAGAGATCCTGCACTTCGTAAAGCTATTGTTTTTGTACTTTCGTATACTTTTCCTGTTAGAAATAAAATAAAGATCACCCCGCTGGACGAAAAAAGGAACGCCGTTACTCTTTCCGTTCCAGTAAAAATGTAACGCGTTCCCGTTCCAGTTCCAGCGATGCCAAATGGAACGGCGGCGTTCCTTCGTTCCTCCTAAAAGGAACGCGTTCCAGGAACGCCGTTCCTTGGAACGCCGTTCCGTACAACACTGCCTGGACCCTCAACCACACAACATTTAGTTAAACAAGATTGGTATTCTAACGCGTTTAGTATTCTTGCCCACAATATTAACTGTTATTTGCGGAAACACGATAGAAGTAATAAAATTGAGTTTTTCCGTTTCTCCTACTGCATGCATAAGATCGTGTCAAGCGATGACTGCCGGTGGTGCCAGCTCGACCCCAGCAATACAGGCCTCTATCCGCGATCTAGCCTCCTAAGAATTTAGTGGTGCCAGTGCTATTAGACATAAATCGTTTATTCGCATCGGTACACCCATATTTGCCGGATGTCGGGACGAGACGCAAAACCGTACATCCGGAAAACATTGAAGCAGGTTTTCGGCCGATATTGCCTCGACACTCGCCAAGAAGCAACGTGCTGTTTCGGCG